CCCCCCCCCCCCCCCCCCCCAAAGAGGAAGGGGCAGGGGAGGGAGTAGCCTCAATTATAACATAATTAAAATAATAAATTTAATAAATAATAGAACTATTATAATATTATATTACATATTAATGAACATACATATACCTCAGGACGCGAATAAAGCAAATGTAATTCTGGCTTCAGTTTAATTTAAATATAAAAATATTTAAATATAAACTAATTAATAAATAAACTAATGAATAAATGTACTTGCGAATAAATGCCAAGCGATGTTAAACGATTATAGGCATAATTGCCTAAAATTATTTCTTTTATATTATTACTATGTCCTTTTATTACCATAACCTATTTTTTGCGGTAACCTATTTTTGCAATTACTTATTTTTTTCTGAGTAAAACCTAAGACGCTATGGTTGCAACCTGATTAAATTGTAACATTTATTAATCAATAATAAATAATAATGAATATTATTGAATAATGATTAATAATAATAATAAATAATGGTAACTAATATTAGCAATACAATTAAATCTTATCTTTTAAATATATATATAATGTAATGATACGCACCCAGGCGAGCTTGTTGATGCGCTGGGTGACCTCGGGGGTTGAGGGGGACAACATGGGGGGTGAGACGGATCTTTCTAAAATTTCAAACATATTCGTAAAATTTAAAAATAAAAAACATTTTTCTCGTATAAATTTTTTGGAAAAATGAAAGAAAATGTGAATTAATAGAAAACGACTAGAGAGGGGGTACTTTAAATAGCTATAATATTATTATTATCTAGCTATATTATTATTATTAATATATATATTCTATTCGTAAGATAAGTAGCTAGCGGCTCTAGAACTTTGATTTTCGATTTTTTCCATCGTATTTTTGTTATGCACGTTTTTTTACATTTTTCTACATTTTCCCCTGCCCCATATACAAGTCAAAATAAGAAATTCAAGATTCAGAACCAAGATTTGAATTCAAGAAATTTTTTCTTGAATTCAAACCAAATTCAAGAAATTTTTTCTTGAATTCAATATAACACTTTTTAAGTGAAAGAAGATGAAAATTTAAATTTTCCTGGAAACCCAAAAAACTGAAAAGATCGCGTAATAAATTAAACCAATTGTCAAGTAGTAAAATCAATCTAGTTTCATAAGAATTTCATTAGAAAAATTCATTAATTTCATAAGAATAATTTCACTGGGGATTCAGTTAAGGGGCTCACTGGGGGTTCAGTTAAGGGGTTCACTCGAGGTTCAGATAAGGGTTCACTGGGGGTTCAGGTAAGGGGTTCACTGGGGGTTCCGTTAAGGGGTTCACTGGGGGTTCAGTTAAGGGGTTCACTGGGGGTTCAGCTAAGGGGTTCATTGGGGGTTCAGTTAAAGGGTTCACTGGGGGTTCAGTTAAGGGGTTCACTGGGGGTTCAGTTAAGGGGTTCACTGGGGGTTCAGCTAAAGGGTTCACTGGGGGTTCAGTTAAGGGGTTCACTGGGATCTGTTGAGGGGTTCACTGGGGGGTCAGTTAATGGGTTCACTGGGGGTTCATTTAAGGGGTTCACTGGGGGTTCAGTTAAGGGTTCACTGAGGGTTCAGCTAAAGGGTTCACTGCGGGTTCAGTTAAGGGGTTCACTGGGGGTTCAGTTAAGGGGTTCACTGGGGGTTCAGCTAAGGGGTTTGCTAGGGGGTTCTGCTAAGGGTATCACAGGGGGTTCAGTTAAGGGGTTCACTGGGGGTTCAGTTAAGGGGTTC